CATAGTGAGTAGCGTAGCAGTGTTCGGTTTTTAACAAAATGACGGCCACTTCTTTGCATTTTCGAGGTGTCTGTGTAGAAGATTTAGATAAAGTTTTGAACGACTAGTAGATTTATACTAGAACAAATAGATGATTCGCTCTTGATTTCTGTGCGTGTTAGTTGACTCGGGCTGCGCCCTCGTCAACTATCACGCGACAGAAATCTCTAGCTTATAATCTTATTGTTAAATAAAATCGTTTCCTTTCTCATTAAGAATATAACCTCGACATCTGGGCTGATTGAACTGAATAGTTCTTGAGCCTATAGTCATTTGATGTAAAGTAAATAGATTTTAAAAATTAAAAATAGATTTTTGTTCAAACTTTGTCCACTGAATATTTGTCATGTGATAACTTCAATTTTGAAATAAAAAAGGGTGTGCCCATGCTCATTAAGGAGCAGTGAGGCATTGAAAATGCCCCATTTTGGCATTATTTAGTGCTTATTATAAGAACGCATTCCGCATTCGTAATTGTAACATCTTTGTAAGCCCGGACTCATAAGAACACCCATTAAACTACAGTCAATACATTGTGTCAGACACAAATAAACGTTTAAGTTTGATTCAGACAGAAAGCTAAATCCTTGATTAAAAATTTGAACCAAATTNAAAAAATTGGGGTGCCCATGCTCGTTGGTGAGCTAGAGCCATTTTTCAACTGACAGAGCTCAATATCAAGGCAAATCCGTCATGTTTTCAATATGCGCGGGCACAAGCGCGCGCTAATGACGCCATAAATTCTGCGCAGTAAGGATGCGCAATGCAAATGTTAGGAATGACCTTAAGGGATTCGGTATTTTCAATAACTAAATGCCTTGAAATTGATGTTTGATAGTGAAATTCTCAAGGGTAAACAAAACGAAAATATATGCGAAGGCTACATTACATCAACTGTGCATAATCTACAACGATCCATTCATAATTCCTTTTTTATCAAAAGGAGCCAGTCTTTTCTTCAATGAACAAAATTGCCTCTCGAAGAAAGTTAATCTCCGAACATTTTTTTAGGAAGACAGATTCCAAAGGGGGTAGTAACAAATCAAACAGTAACAAAGCTTGACAAGACTTGAAAAGGTTCAGAAGCATTTTGAATGAAGACCTTCAACAATACAAAACGTACCATACGTGTCCATGACATAACTCCTTTAGCACAGTTTAAGCCTTATAAGTTAAGTCAAACTTTATAGTTTCTTTTTTATAGTTTGCTTTTGGCGAGGTGCAGAAATCTTCTCCTTTCCTCCTTGGCTGTTACGTCCCTCTTTCTTTCCGTTTTTCTTCTCTTTCGATTCTTCCTTAACCTTTTCTTCCTCAAAGGAAATACTAGCCTTTACTCCGGTTTCCTTTTCCGTTTTTCTTAGTCTCTTGGTGAATATCGCTTCCAAGCTATGGAGGAGTTTTTTTTTCCAGGGGATTGTCTCTTTCTGAATTCTTCCTCGAGTAGCCAAAATTTTCTCGCTCAGCTCTGCGACTGTTGGTTTTTTGCGAGGCAACTGAGTCTTCCTCTCAGTTTCGGCGTGAGCACTTGGGTTCCTGACGTGAATTGTTACGTTGGTTGATGACGTGGAAAGATATTCCCACATCGTCCAGTGTGAAATGCTTTCATTCATCTTCACCTCGTTTAAACTTTCCGGCTGCGTAACAGAATCTTTCCTTGGAGAAACTGTGAAGTTCCTGTCTTCTTGGGATGGTTCTTTTTGCTTCTGATCGTCGATAAACTTGCTTCCTTTTAAGAGGCTCCTGAGATTGCTTGCCGTGCTCACTTCAGGAGTCGTTTCCGGTTTACTTTGTTGAAATTCGATGCCCTCACTGAAATTGTTCGTTTCAGAATTAAGCTTTTTCAGGAGTTCATTCCAATATTTCTTATCTCCCGCAGAGAGCCTTGATTGGTCTGCTCCTTGGGTCTCATCTCGTTTCACAATGGAATGCACGGCCACAATTTTGGGAAGGGAACTGTGGTCTATTGCGTAACCACCGCAGCCACTGTCCATGTCGTCCAATTCATTCTCATCAGGTGGAAGTGGCACAGCACATGATGAACGACAAGGTTGTTGTGTTTTCGACGTGTCTGTCGCTTGATCGTTTAAAGCTTTGTTTTCCACACTGTAGGAAGCTTGGTTTCCGGCGCTAATGGCCGTTGCTTTAAAATCGCGAGACTCAGTTTCCTCACGATTGGGTATAGGAAGCCTATGAGACGCTGAGCGTCCCGGGTCTTCCTCGGCCACACGCCTATGCAAGCTTTGGGCTTCGGTTCTTTTGTTTGGAAATGCCGTGATGCCCATTCTTCGGTTTTCGTCGCGTTCAGTGTTGGTTGGCTTTGGATCTTCTTCCACGTATTTTACGTTCCTCTTGCTTTGATATATGGTTGCTACTCTTCTTTCCACTTGACACTGTGGGCTTTGGGTGTGAACGTTTGTATTTTGAAATAGTTTGGCTTCCTTTCTCTGGGTTTCATCAAATGAAATGTTCGATCTTTGTTGCCTCTCAGTAGCGTCTGTCCTACGTTTCAGGAGCTCATTGAGACTCGTAACGAGCTTGGAATCATCACTGCACAGACTCTTCCTTTTAGGACCTTGAGGTAAGCTGCCGACGTTGGTAGTTTCATCCTTTGACACGGACGGAGAGTCGTGGCAACGGTTACGGCAAGCTTCTTGATATTGAGTCCATGGGCCCATCTGATCTCGATTCCGATCAACGTTTTTGATGTTGTGTGTTTTCTCACTTGAGAATTGTTGGTACCGCTGGAAGGGAGATGTGACACTGGTATTTGTATTTCGATCGTATTGCGCTCCAGGAGTCGTGGTTTTTCTAGGCTGATCCAATACCACGGGTTGCCTCGTAATCTGCTGTTCATGCTCAGAATTTCTCACGCTTGTTGTCGAATTCTCGTTGGTTACAGATAGTTTATAAGGTATTTCGTCCGTTGCTCTGGTGCTGTTATTATTTCTGTCAATACAAGATGACCCGGAGAATACATAATCGTCATTAGTTTGCATGCTGCTGTTGCACGGAGAAACGGACTTACTCGGAAGAGACTGACAACTCTTGGAACAGTATTTTGGAACACCACCGTAACCCAAGGATTTGTCCTTCAAACCTCGCGTTCGAGGCCTTCCACGACGCAGTTGCGGAACGGTCGACTCAGGCAAATTAAAATGCGGAGCCTGAAACTTGAAAGGACTATCACCGCACTCCTGCTGGTCCGCTTTTGTTGTGGGGCAGCACAGGGCGATCTTATCCCTTGGCGGGGGCGTCAACTGTTGATTGCTATAAGAGTGTTTACGTAACTCTGTGCTGCATTCGTGATATCCAGTTGGTGATAGAGCTGGGTATTTCCCATACTTCTTGCTTGTTGCTCTATTGTTTTCATAAAAATTGTCCCTTATCGCGCTTGGGTATTCTTCTTTGTAATCGCTTGGTGCTGCACCAGGTCTATAGTCGTTCTGAGGCATGTACCGCCGCCTCTTAGGTATGTCAGGGAGGCTTCGGGGTTCATTACAACACTTGCAAACCGATGTGTGCTGTTTCCCCTGCAGATCACACGATTGGCCTTTGCCGCTCTGATTCCCATCCCGAGACACAAAATGTTCTTCTTGGGGTTTTGCAAAACATCGTTCTTGACGTTCTTGCTGTACATGTTCTCGTGTTGTCCTACGGTCCAAGGCTTGATCACGGGCTTTGGAGGATGAAACATGTTCCGGAAGTTCTTCTGATCTCATTCTGTACGACTCTTTATCAGTATCGGTTGTATTTGATTGTCTATATCTGGGGAGTTTCTCAGTCCACTCTTTTTTCGCGTGGTTCAATGACATAGATGTATCCTTGTGAATGTTATCGTGTGACGATGTAGTATATTTTTCGATCTCATTATGCTGCTCGCTATTCGTGTTGTTATTCTTGTCAACCTCACTACTGTAGCCACGCTTAGTAGGTTCGAAACGTCTCCTGGAGGAATACTGTGGGTGCACTTTACTCAGCGCTATAGAAGACTTTCTTACATCTCCATACTTGATGTTATCTTTTAAGCACCCATTATTTGCAGATAAAACATGTTTGAAGTCATTTCCTGAAATATTCCTCGTGTGCGATATCTCTGGTGTTTCGGTTCCAGAACAGTGTACTGCAGATATTCTGTGATGGGACCCATTCTGGACTGTTTTCACAAGAGGAGGTGGAGGGCGTGTTGTGCGGAGCGATGTCTTGTGTGCCTGGGAAGCCTTCAACGTTGCATCAAATACAGACGTGGTCGTTCCATTTTCTAGTGTAGGCTGCAATCGTTCTCCTTCGAGACGAGGCCTTTTGGGGAAAGCAGAGTTCCCACAACAGCTAATGCAGGTACAGAAATTACAGACGCTCATGTGGCATGGCGAGGGTGGTTGATGGCGTGGCCGATGAAAATGAACATTACTTCTTTCCACTGGCAAAAAGATTGGTTGAACACCATGAAAACGTGGGTAATGAGGATCGTGTGACATCCAACCCGGATGAATTGGCGAGCTATTCACCGGTGGCAAGGCATCGTTAAATGGCGACGAACCACATGCAAGTCCCACTGTCGATGAAAATGGTGGAAAATGCATCCTTGAAAGGGGCGGCTGACCACCTAGAGAAAAGAAATAAATATCAAATTTTCATTGCTCATTAAAATAATCAGCAGTAAGATATTTAATGTGAATACAAATCCTCGCCCATATCAATGTAGTTATGTGGTACATAAAGATGCAGGATGAGTAGCAGCTAGAAAATAATTGGATATATTAAAAAATAAGACTATGAGGACGAGCTTTCTATCGCGTGATAGTTGACGAAGAGGCTGCCCGAGTCAATTATCACGCATAGAAATCGAGAGCGAATAATCTAATTGTTTTAGTATAAATCTACTAGTTGTTCAAAACTTTTATCTAAAATCTCTTCACAGACACTTCGAAAACACAAAGAAGCGGCCCCCAGCGCATGCTGCTACGCTACTCACTATCTATCACAGATTATATAATAACCCAAGTTATTCTCGCATTTTGATTGGTTCTCGCCTATGATCTATTAGAGGACAGACGCACGATTGACGTCATCATTTCAAAGTTTTTCTCCCTGTGTTTTAAAATAGCGGAAAGTTTTGAGAATTTAGATAATATTTTACATGACTGGGCAAAAGATAAGGTCCAAGAAAGTCTTGTCCAGGCATTGAAC